GCCACGACAAAGCCTTCATGCTTAACCACTGCCAACACACAGACCTGCATGGATCGGTGAAATAGTGGTAAGAACAGAGAGGTCCCCACTCATGTTCTTGCACGCTCTCTCTCTCTCAAATAAATGAAATCCTTAAAGATTTCATTTATTTGAGAGAGAGAGCACAAGAGAGCACAAGCAGGGGGAGGGGCAGAGGGAGAGGGAGAAACAGACTCCACACTGAGCAGGGAGTCTGATATGGGGCTCAATACCAGGACCCTGGGATCATGGCCTGAGCTGAAGGCAGATGCTTAACCGACTGAGCCACCCAGGTGCCTCAAAATCTTAAAAAAAATAAAGTAACCACCTGCCTCAGGCCTGAAATGCTTTCTTTCTTCATTTATCACAATTTCAACTGCTGCCTTGAGGCTTTCCTCAATTAATAATTACAACAATAATTTCTGTGTGAATGTCTGTCTGTCTACCTACCTATCTGATTCTTTTAAATGTATTATCTAATTAGATCTTTGTGAAGACCCATAAATTAGGCTGGATAAGTGTTATGTTGCCACCACTTATAGATGAAGACACTGAGGTTTAGAAAGCGTTGCATAGTCACACAGCTAAGAAGATAATTTAAATCTAGATAATTCTTGCTCCAGAGTTCCCTCTCTATATATTGTATTACTTTTCCAAAGTTCCTTCTATGTATGTAGGTAACTTCTCTGATTCAGTGACTCTAGGAGTTACAAACGTTTTAAGCAATGGCAGTATCTTTTTAGGAATTCCTAGAAGTAGAAGTAGACCCCAAGACAACAATTTCAGTGCAAGCAGTTTATCTGGAGGGTGAAGGAGATTTAGGAAGGGTAGGAGGAGATGAAATCGGGGAAAATGCAGCCAATAAAATCTATGAAATTGAGCCAGCTAGGACAATGAGTGACTCGAGCTTAATCCCTTAATCCCTCTGGGGAAATTGGAGACGGTGTAGGACACATGGCTCTTAGTTATCCCACCTAGGAGGCAAGGAAGCTGGGGTGTGAGCTCGTCAGTCTTTGATTAAAGATTGCTCGCAATGAATGTTACTCTGTAATACTTCCAGCTGGCTCAGGTGGCAAGAGAAAGCCCTCCAGGAAAGAAATATATGTGCTGGCAGGTGGTAACTGGGCCTGGGTGTGTGAAGTGGTAAGAGTGAGGGAATGTAAGTGAGGCACCAACAGCATCTCATGGGAGGCATCAATGAAATATATATATATATATATTTTAAAGATTTTATTTATTTATTTGAGAGAGAGAGAGAATGAGAGACAGAGAGCACGAGAGGGAAGGGGATCAGAGGGAGAAGCAGACCCCCCGCTGAGCAGGGAGACCGATGCGGGACTCGATCCCGGGACTCCAGGATCATGACCTGAGCTGAAGGCAGTCGCTTAACCGACTGAGCCACCCGGGCGCCCTCAATGAAATATTTTATACACAGTCATCATACTAATTTTTTCCTAATAAAAAAAAATCATTAGAATTAAGTATAGTATTATAATTTTAAGAGCCCTTTCACATATATTATCTCATAAGATAATCAAATGGTCCTTTGATGTAAACAGCATTGTGCAGATGGAAAAGCAAGATGTATATTTTATCTCCTCCACAAGGAGATCTCATAAATTTAAGAGTACTTCTTTTCTCATACCAACTTGTATTCTAAGTTCCAGTTTTCCCTTATTTTGGGAATTTGTAGAACATTTTTTGGTGGGACAGGCATGGGAAGTAGGAAAATTTAAGAGGTTGGAGTAATGAAGAACATTTCTGGACCCCAATCTAAAAAACCTTTTTCTCAGAACTATATGACCTAAAACAGCATATTAGAACTTAATTAAAAAATAAACAAAGCCAATATTAGTTATAATCAGAAAAATCATGTATAGATGAAATTTAAGTAAATGAAAATTTGTTCAGTTTATGTCATATTATGCAGTAGAAGGATCATTTCTCAGTAAATGATTTAAACAAAAGTGTTCCTCCTCACCCCTTCTCCAAGTCTCGCAAGATGAGCTTTATTTCAATGAAGCCAACACTGGGAGTAATGGGAGAACCCTAGGACAGTTGGAGGCAGATTTTGTATTTACTAGCTTGTGTTTCAAGGTGGCTAAATGAATGGTAACTCTGTCTGGACAACCCCTTTAATGGGATTCTCTCTTCTGGGCTGAATTGCTGTTTTTAAGAATTTTTCCACTGATGCTTGGATAAAGCAAAGGAGTAACTCTGCTCTTAACAATTATAATGAGAAAATAAACAGCTTATGACAAGAACTTGGTCAAGATATAGCTTCTTGTAGGCCGTGTTTTTGTTTCATTATAAAGGTAAATCTGGTATTATTTTAAGAAACTAAAGGATTTACATTTTTAAATCCTTGATAACAAGGATGAAATCTTATTATTAACATGCTAGTAGTTAAGTTTTAAAAGTTAAACATCAAACCTCTAACAAATCAAAATTTTTTAAAAAAGATTTTATTTATTTATTCATGAGAGAGAGAGAGAAAGAGAAAGAGAGAGAGGCAGAGGGAGAAGCAGTCTCCTTGAAGAGCAGGGAGCCTGACGTGGAACTCGATCCCAGCACCCTGGGATCACGACCCGAGCTGAAGGCAGACGCTCAACCGACTGAGCGACACACACGCCCCTCTAACAAATTAAATTTAAATAATTCTTTTATCAGTAGAGAAGTCCTGTGATTAAAAAAGTCTATTCAGGATTTTAAAATTTAATTTTAGTAAAAATGAGCACTAAGAATTTAACACTGCAGACCAAATCTTTTCCGAAACCATGAGATTTTCATTTCAGCTGTCCCAGTGTTATTTGTTTGTCCTGCCTCCTGCCTTTCCAGTTTATCTCTCAAAGCTAAGAACACAAAGGCAGTATGTTTAGGGACAATAGGACACATTTGTAGCCAAAGCGTCAAGGGAGCAAGGCAGGGTTGGACAAGACAAAAGGTGCATTTGCTCTCATTTGCTATGGTTTATACAGCTGTTGGTGCCTTCCCGGCCTGACCAACATTTTAAGGCATGTCAGATAGGAACTTCTACCAGTCATATAAATGTGGCCAAAGTAAGAAATGGGCCAGCATTTATCACAGAGTTGCACAGACTCAAGTTCTCTGCAAATTTGCTAGTAAATTGGCACATTATCAAGAAAAAAAAAGAAAGAAAGAAAGAAAAGAATAAAAATTCCCAGGCGCCTGGGTGGCTCAGTCGGTTAAGCGTCTACCTTCAGCTCAGGTCATGATCCCAGGGTCCTGGGATCGAGCCCCGCATCGGACTCCCTGCTCAGCGGGGAGTCTGCTTCTCCCTCTCCCTAATACTCCCCACCAACCCCCTCGTGCTTGCACTCTCTCTCTTTCTCTCTCTCAAATAAATAAAATCTTAAAAGAAGAATAAAAATTCTCTAAAAATGATCTAACGGTAATTCATGGTTTGACCTTCATTTCTATACACAGATCCACCCTTAGAACATAAACAACCCCTTACGTTTTTATATTTCTTTAAAGCCCTGAAAGTATTCCCATTTAGTATTATTATTTGATCGTTACAGTAAACCTCTGAGGCCAACAGAATGAATATTTTCAATATTACCCTTTAACTGAAGATGAAACTCTGGCTCCAAGACATTAATTAGTAGGTCTAAGATCCTAAGAGCTACCCACCCTCCAACCCCTCTTGTACTATTGATTTGCTAGTTTTTTCTCTAATAATTTAAAGATACAAAAGGAAAATAATATAAAGTCAGGAGGAAAAGTCCTACCCCTTTGGAACATTTTCTTCCCTTAATATTAATTTAAGTGTCAGGAAGCTTTCAGTGACTAAGGTAAGGATTAAGATATATAAAGAGGGAAAGACAAATTCGCTGCCCTTCAGTTTCTCGACCTAACAGATAAAGGTAGCAGACAGAGTCCTGGAGGGCAGATCTATAATGTGAAAGGCCTGGGGGTCTTCTTTCTTTACAGTGCTCTGTATGACACTCTTTAGAGAACTATCTAGAACTGGTAGAAGTAAAAGAGCAAGTACACAGTTCAGGATCCCTTGTGTCTCATTCCACCTTCTTGGAGTGGGAGTTCAAGGAGAAATTTTCTGGGAAACAATGGGAAGGTCCTGAGAGACTGCTGCACCCACTAGCTATTGTTAGGCTTTCTTACCAAGTGCCCTTTTATATTATTTTAATCAACGTTTTTTGCTTACTTCTCTTCGGTTCTTAAGCACAAAAATACAGGGACCAAATGCAATGGAAAAAAAAGGCTTAATGAGTGCTGAAAGGTCAAGACTAATTCCTAGTCATACTCCCACCATTATGGCCCATTTCTAGCATTTAAAAACATTTCCACACTATTTACTCATATTTAAATTATTAACCCAGTCTTAAAATTTTTTAACGTTTTGATTGTGATGCAGGTATCTCATGAATTGTAAAATACTCTTTAATTGATAGGACATTTGGGCTGTATTTGCATCTACCCTGCCTTTCTCCTGATTGTGGATATTTGTTTGGAAGGATTTATTAGTCTTAGAGCATACTGCATTATTTCCTCCTATTCTGCTTCTTTCTCTTATGGATTAGCCTGTTCCTTTATTTTCAAGGTCACTCTAAATTCTATTCCATATTCCTTGATGTTTGCAATTGCGTACCTTTTTGTCTTCATGTCTTTAAAGAGGAGCACTTTCAAATTCATCATCTTGGTCAATGACTGTTATTAGTGCTAAGCTCAAGGCTGATTGTGCATACTACCACTTCATATGTTCCCTCTTAAGTTTCTCAGACTGTTGCTAAGCCATTTAGAAGCCACTGTTTCAACAGTGGCAACATTAGAAATGGTATGTTGTTCTGTTTCTTGAAAATTCATGACTTTTTAAAAACAAGAATCATAAACGAGAACAGCAATAACATTTGCCAGAGAAGCAAGCTCCTAGCAGCCTGCCCCACAAATCCAGAACTTCTAGATGAACCCAATCTCCTGGGCAGGCAGCGACTAATGCTTACCTAGGGTGGGGTAGCCTCAGTCGTGGCTGTCAGACTGTAGCTCAAAGCATGGTCTTCCAGGGCTTCAAAAGCAGAGCCATGTTGCTCTTAATTTAGACATACTTTAAGTAGTTCAGTTACATCTGGTTTCCTAGATAATCTGAGTAGAAACAGAGAAATATCAAGTTAGAGCAGAGGAAATAAGCTCACAGAAGCAAGTAGTGGCAGTTAACAGTGTGAAAGGCAAACAGAGGAAAATAGAAAGCAAACATTGGAACCTGAAAAGCAAAGCAGCCTGGGGGCCCACTAAATAATTCAGAGCAGATGACCAAATTTATAATCCTTGCAGCCCTTGAACTGAGAATACCAGGAGAGAAAGATGACAGTATTTGGAACATGGCAAAAAACATTCCAAGTTTATTGAAAAACAAAAACCTATACACCCAGGAAGCCCAATGAAGAGACCCACAGACAGGCATATCAGAGTAAAAAGGCTGAAAATCAAATATAAGGAAAATATCTTGGAAAAAGCTGGAGAAAAACAAAGCATCACTTACAAGGAAGCCCAGTAAGATCTATGGCTGACTTCTCAGCAGGAACAATGGAAGCCAGAAGGCAGTGGGAAAACATTCAAAGTAAGTGCTCAAACAAACAAACCAACCAACCCATCAACCAAGACTCTGATATCCAGCAAAGGTATCTGTAGAAAAATGAAAGTGAAATAAGGACTTTCCCAGGTAAAACAGAAACTGAAAGAATTTGTTGCCAGGCCAACTCATCTTAAAAGAGATATTCTAGGAAGGTCTTCAGACAGAAAGTAAGTGATGTCAGACAGTAACACAAAACCACAAGACCAGAGAACAGCATTAAAACTATAAATGCATATTTTTTCTCATTTTTCTTAAATGAGTTAAAAAGCAATTTCATAAAATATGTACATACAGTTGACCCATATACAACATGGAGGTTGGGGTACCACTACCCTACACAAACATCCATGTAGAACTTCTGATTCCCCAAAACTTAACAGCCTGTTATTGACCAGAGTCTTACCAAATAACATAAACAGTTGACTAACATATATGTATTATATACTGTATGTTTACAATAAAGTAAGCTAGAAATGAAAAAAAAATTTTTTTTAAAAAGATTTATTTGACAGAGAGAGACACAGCAAGAGAGGGAACACAAGCAGGGGGAGTGGGAGAGGGAGAAACAGGCTTCCCGCTGAGCAGGGAGCCCGATGTGGGGCTCGATCCCAGGACCCTGGGATCATGCCTCACATCGGGCTCCCTTCTCCCTCTCCCTCTGCTGCTCCCCCTTCTTGTGCTCTCTTGCTCTCTCAAATAAAGTTTTAATTTTAATTGTGTAAAGATTTTATTTATTTGACAGAGAGAGACACAGTGAGAGGGGGAACACAAGCAAGGGGAGTGGGAGAGGGAGCTGCTTCTCTCGGAGCAGGGAGCCCGATGTGGGGCTCGATCCCAGAACCCTGGGATCATGGCCTGAGCCGAAGGCAGACGCTTAACAACTGAGCCACCCAGGCGCCCCATCAAATAAATAAAATTAAAAAAACAAAAAACTGTGAGTGAAATAAATGGTACTGTATTCATTGCAAATATCTGCATATAAATGGACTTCTATAGTTCATACTTGTATTGTTCAAGGGTCAACTGTAACCTATTATTGGGCCTATAACATGTAAGTGTAATATAGTGTAATTGCCAACAACAGCACAAATGAGATGAATGTGAGCAAAGCTGTAACAAGCTGAGGAAACGACCACAGATGGTAAAGTAATAATTGTTAATGCATTAAGTTTGTAACATTAACAGATGTAGTATGTGGGGACTGCCTAGAAAATACTTATTAGACTTGGTACTCAATGAGATAACGTTTTTGATATTATACAATGTTACATTTCCTACCACCTCCCCCCAAAACCACAAAAAATCATCATCCAAATACAAGGAATCTTTTTTTGACTTTTATTTGCTGCTCTGACATCCAGGCTAAAAACTTACTTGGAGTTACTTCTCCGTGGTCTATCCTGGGATCATGATTTCAGAAGCCCAGACTTTTAAAAAAAAGAGCCAATTTCTGATAGTGAAAATAAAAACAAGTTTTTTTTTTCTTTTCTTCTTTTTTAATCACAAAAAATAACAGCAACATGGAGGATGTCTAAGAAAAGGAAAAAAACTCACCTATAATCCTATTACCTCAACATAATCATTCTTTTATTCCATAGGCATTTACATTTTATTTTAGAGGTATAACAATTTATATTTTCGTTTTTCAGCTGGGATTATATTAGATACTTTAGCAGTTTTAATTATCAATTTCGATAGCTTCACATGTATTCAGGGATATATAAGCTTTCTTGGGTCTCTCTCCCACCTGCCCAATCTTTTTCTCATGGTGGACTTAGAAGGCCTGATGAGCTCAAACTTCCAGACTTGAAAGAGCTGGGGGGAAAAAAAAAAGCAAAATCTTTAACTTTGGTGAAGCAATCTAGATGACCTCTGGACTTTAACTTGAATATATCGACACAATTTGAAATTGTTTAAATACAAACGCAAGTTTCATCTGAGTAGGATTTATACTGTAAAATGTAATTAGAAGTCCATGAATCCACCAGACTTTCAATAATTTGGAACAGAGCAGTACATTTATTTATTTTTTTAAAGATTTTATTTATTTGACAGAGAGAGACACAGCGAGAGAGGGAACACAAGCAGGGGGAGTGGGAGAGAGAGAAGCAGGCTTCCCGCTGAGCCGGGAGCCTGATGCGGGGCTCGATCCCAGGACTCTGGGATCATGACCTGAGCCGAAGGCAGACGCTTAACGACTGAGCCACCCAGGCGCCCCGCCCACCGGGTTTCTAATGAAAGAACCAGTTTTTTTTTTTTTTTTTAAAGATTTTATTTATTTATTTGAGAGAGAGAATGAGAGAGAGAGCACATGAGAGGGGGGAGGGTCAGAGGCAGAAGCAGGCTCCCTGCCGAGCAGGGAGCCCGATGCGGGACTTGATCCCGGGACTCCAGGATCATGACCTGAGCCGAAGGCAGTCGCTTAACCAACTGAGCCACCCAAGCGCCCCTGAAAGAACCAGTTTAACAGCTTTTAGCTCACTGACATTTACACTCTATGCTTTACTTCCTGTTTTTTTTTTTTTTAAACTAATGTCTAGTGGGTCATTTCCAGGCTTGAGGTATTTGCTTCCTTCCTTGGTATTACTCATTCCACTACTCAGTCAGATGCATAATCTATTAGAGATGTAGTAGACAAATGTCTTCTCTCTGCATCCTGCATAACTCAAAACACAATTCCAAGTATCCTACGTGTAGTTCCTTTTTTGGTTACTGGACACTTGGCATGTACAGCCTCATTAGAATGTAACATGCTTGGGGCTCCTTCCTGGGTGGCTCAGTCATTAAGCATCTGCCTTTGGCTCAGGTCATGATCTAAGGGTCCTGGGATTGGGCCCCACATCTGGCTCCCCGCTTGGCGGGAAGCCTGCTTCTCCCTCTCCCACTCCCCCTGCTTGTGTTCCCTCTCTTGCTGTGTCTCTCTGTCAAATAAAACCTTTGGGGGAAAAAAAATGTAACGTACTACCACAGTATTTAACTATAATACCTGTTTAAAATTAAGGCAACAAATTAAAAGCCCACCCATCACCATTTAGTAATAACTGCTTTGATACGGTTTTCAATGTAATCGCTTATTCTCAGTGTTATAATTTGTAGTTAATGTGCTGCTTAAGTAACCACTTGACTGTTTATTCATGTGACTACAATCTTCACTAAGTTTTAACACAGCCAAATGGCTGTTACTGAGCCTAGTGAAAATGGATTAGTGTTAAAATACTTTATATAATTAATTTGATAAATGTGAAAGGCACAACCTACCAAGTTAGTATTCAATGAATAATTAACTGATAAGGAGAAATCTAAGAGCCATTTAAAAAAATAAAATCATGATTAATATTGGAGAGCAAATAAGTTTGTTGTATTATAATTCAAAGGGATCATTGATGTACTAGTCCAGATAAATTTGATGAAGAGAAGATATTAAGTACAACTAATGACAATCATATTGTGGATCTTGGCAAAGTTACTTTTCTTTGGGTTTGTTTCCTCATCTGTAAAATGAAGGGATTAAGCTATTTCATATCTAAAGTTTTTAAGATTTAGGAGTTTGTCTGGCTTTCCAGAATACCTGTTCTTGAAAAAAATTTTTGTCATATAGAATGTCTAAATGTTGGGGAGCCTGGGTGGTTCAGTCGTTAAGCCTCTGCCTTTGGCTCAGGTCATGATCCCAGGGTCCTGGGACTGAGCCCAACATTGGGCTCCCTGCTCAGCGGGGAGTGTGCTTCTTCCTCTCCCACTGCCCCTGCTTGTGTTCCCTGTCTGTCATATAAATAAATAAAATCTTAAAAAAAAATGTCTAAATGCACCAAGAACATTCTATTAATAGGACAGTTGATGTCAGTTTACAATTTTAAAAAGTTATTTTCATTCTTCAAGCTTTCTTAAAGTGAGCAATACCTAACATTTATAGAAATCACCAAGAAAAACTACTGCAATACATTCTTATGTAGGATACAGAAGTGGTAAATTTCAGTAAGTTAGAAGTCTGGAAAAGTGTATAGATCATAAACCAATATATTAAAGTTCTTTTTCTGCTTTATGTACTTGAAGATATGGCAGGAGTTATGTACACTGCCAAACATTTCCCCAGGATTAGTGTTACCATCCAAATTCCACCATGTTGGTATGCACAAAAGACAACTATCAAAATAAGTTATCTGAGGCCACTCTAGCCCAGGTTAAAAATTGTTATGAGTCTTTACAGATTAATTGGGTTGAGATTTTCATAACATTAGAAACATAAGATAGTATATCAATCAATCAGTTCCATCTCTTCTTTTCTAATGAGGAAACTGGTCCAGAGAAGTGACTTGGCAAGGCCACAGAGCTAATTGGTGTCAAGTGAGAAGAGAACCCAGATCTGCTTGCCAATTCTTCTACATGATACTGTCTTCTGGATGCCACAGGGCAGGCAATGCTCTGAAAAGGTAGGAGAAATCTGAATAGATGATGAAATCTTAAAGGGGACATTACATGGTCCATCTAGTTCAATTCCACATTTACATCTGGAATTTCTTCTGCAGCACTGTGGCAGATGTCATTCTGCTTCTCCCAGTGATAAGATCTTCTTCGAACATTAGGAGGCAAGCCCTTTCTGTCATGGACAAATAATCAGTTGGTTCTTTCTTACACTGAACTCCAACCCGCCATTTTGGAACTTTCACCTAGTTGTACTGAGTCAAAAAGAATAAATTGTACATGCCTCTCAAGTATCATTCCTTAGGTACATAATTCTCCAGTTGCTCTTTTGGTTTTAGTTTGTGGGACTCTTTCCAACTTGGTAAAACATTCCAGGATTTATTCTAATTTGTGAATATCCTTTTATTGCTTCCTGAAATTAATATTTACAGATGTGGTCTGACTTATCCTTTGTATGAGATTATTGCCCCATGATGAATTTTTCCACACCCTAAAATTATAGCCCATTACAACCGGCTCACATGTTATTTCTAGCAAACTAAAAATATCCAGGTTTTTTTAATCTATAAACTCTTGATAAATGCAGTGTCATATTCCTATCAATGGCTTTCTATTATATCAAGGATAATAATCAGGGTCCATGACACCATGTAGGACTGTGCCCCTAACTAATTTGCCAGGCTCATCTTTATGTCATCTGTTCCCTTTGACTTCTGGCCAGGCTTTTTAGACTTCAAATGCACTGTCCTTCCTCTAGGCTTCCACATACTGTTCCCTTTAGCCAGCAATGATTTCCCTTGGCCATCAGGTTTAGTCATCCTTCAAAGTTCCTATCAAATATCACTTCTTTGTGCAACTCTTCCTCGCCCTTCTCCCCATGTTCCCCTCCATAAAGTACAATTTACCTGTTACAATAAGCTACAAATCTCCCTCAGCCTTACTCAAATAGTAATACTTATGCAATAAGGTATCTGTCTCCTTGGTTACACTGTGAAGTCTATGAGGACATGGTCGATGTTCACCTTTATCTGGCATAGGATATTACATGATTTAGACATTATTTCAATAAATATTTGTTGAATGAATGAATGCTGAATTAGTATGATCAATATTTTAAATTTAACAGGTAATCAAAGAAAACACATAGCTGAACTCTGGGGTGTAGGCTGTATAAAAAAAGGAATTGTACAGGCTCCACAACAATCTTGGTAAGGAAGAAACCTCTTCAAAAAAAGAAGTGATGATAAAATTGAGAAAACTACACAACTATGTTCTACAAAGATGAATGGTAAATGTTTTCAGTCCTTACGGTAAGGGATGGGAAGCATGGAAGAAGGCAAACAAGCACAGCTGGGTGGTATATTTGTTGTTTTACTGTTAATTTGACACATCTGAACCAAAGCATTCACAATACTTGATATACTTTGAAGATAATCATATACTATAGTCTTAGACATAACCACAGAACAAGCAGAACAATTAAAACTACATAAGGCCTTAAAATATATCCACAGTGTGTATTATTTCAATATTCATTCATGTACAAATTAGACTACATACCGTTAATTTTATTTTTATTTTACTTTCATTGTTTTATTCAGGCAGGATTCAATCAAGGAAAGGCAACTTAGTTTTTGTGTGTGAGCTTTGTTTTTTACTACATTGGTTAATATAAAAGTTATGAATTAAATGTTCTCTTATCTCCTGTATCCACAAGTGAATCCATGAAATTCTCAGATAGTAATCTAAAACAACAGATCCTATTAAAAATAGCCAAGGTGAAAAACAACCAAGTAGCCAGCCTGTTTGTGGTCTTGAAGAACATCTAATGGACTCTCATGTTTTCTTATAATGAAGAGTACTGTGATTCTATGAGATTAGTCAAAATTTAAAACAACATTGCATACAAAATCTTTCTTGAAACTCTAAATGCCTTTTTAAATAAGAAAAATGAGAATTTTAAGTAGTTGCCTCACAGTACCAAACCTATAAGTCAGAACTAGTTAAAATTCAGTGCTATCATGACTTCTCATTTACAGGTAACTAGTTGGTAAATTAATAGATGGCATAAAAATTAAGACTTACATCATTTTTTTTTCAAAGGAGAAAATGTATGATAACCAGGGAATACAGAAAATTCAATGTATTTTACAATAAAGTAACTGTTTAAACCTCAATCCCTGTACAACAGGGTTTAGGTCATCTCTAGTGAACTTGCACGTTTTCATACAGTTTATTCTATTATGAGTACTTGAATTGCTTTAGATATACAGCTTTTTACTGAAAGAATATTACATTTGTATACCTGGATAAGATTTAGTACATTGAGATGTTTTAAAAATATCTATAAATTTGTTTGATATGCAAAAGCATTTGGCAATACTTTTACAGCATTTGATTTTACAGAATTAAAATTTCATACAGTACTCATTTTGATGTTTAAAAAAAAATTCACAGAAAAAATATAAATTACACAGCCTGACTGCATGATACTGTTATTTCCAGTTTCTAGTTCTGGTAATAAAAACCTTCATTAAGTCTGTTAACAAATCATTACCTGTACATTTATGAAGGCAACTGACATGATTTGCAAACAAAACCTTCAGGTTTTATGTTATTTACCAAAGAGTGCAGTTCAGCAAGAAAAGAAAACCCAGTCTGCAAATTTACAGAATATTTTACAAATTTACCAGTTCCTGTGACACAAACTGTTTCAACCTTTCAAGGTACTGTCCATAAAGTTCCACATCATTGTGACCTGCCCCTTCAACCCACAGAGGCTCCACAGGTCTTTGGCAGCGCTCAAACAGTGCGAGGCCATGTGAAAAGTCAATGACTTCATCTTCAGTCCCATGAATTATTAATACTGGGGAGGTTATCTTAGAGATTTTGTCAATGCTGTAAGAAAAGAGAAGGGTGTAGAAAGTCAATGAATTAGCTACGAAAAGGAACGTAAAAACAAATTTTCTTGCGATATCCCGAAGATCATTCAAATATCAGAATGGTCTGAATTAACCCAGAAGAAACGGATACCTCTTGGATTTCAAATAAGATTTAAAAGTCACTTTACATACTCCTTATTTTAAGATTACCTGAGGAAGCTAACTTCATGCACTTCTGTTTTGAGGGAATCATTCGTTACTGTCAACCTACTGCACCTTTCTACAATGTTTAGCACAGAGAAACGTAGGTTGGAAGGAGAGGAGGAAACTAAGGAGTATTCAAGTATGTGCTAACTTTATACCTCTCTGCACTCATTTTTTCTCTCCCTTAATCTACTAAAATGACAGCAAAATGTTTTTTGTTTTTATTTTGGGTTATCAACTCACAAAAATAGGAAGAATGCAATAAAACATAAAATTTTGGAGCTGGAAAGCAGATAAATGTGTGGGATAAGAGATTAAAAGTGTAGGGAAAAGCCAATTTTAAGGGGATAGAAGGTAAAGTGAAGAAACAATCCAATTTATACCATGGGATACCCCAGGAGGCTAGGAATTGACATGGGGATGAAGGCAGGTGATAGAGGAGTCTATAGAATTTGTTCAAAGTCTGTTTAAGAATTAAGTCCCTCTGCTTTAGGTTCTTTCCCCCTCTTTTTTGTAGATTGGTAGCTGCACTCTACCCCAAACTGAAGGTTTTATGGACCAGGGAATTGCGAGGCACAGTTTAAGGCAAAGAGGTAAACACACATACGTGTAAACACACATACTGCTGCTATGAACCCATTTTCTGTACTGAGTTCCCAGAATGCTGGCAGCCAGGCCTTCACTCCTCCAGGGAGGACTTTTAGAAAGACTCCTTGGTGGAGACTATATACACCTTAAGAGGAAAGATACAGAAATAATGACACAGGATAGGATCCCCAAGTAACTGGCCAGATCACTGTATAGTGAAGCTCACACGCAACAAGACTTAACCACCTGCTTCAGATCAGCAATTTAGTTTCTCACTTTTACATATGAAGAGACAACCAAGAATTATCAGACATCAGAGAACACTTTAAGTATCAGACAGATCAAAACAATTTAAAAAAGGCAACTTGAAGGAGACATAAGCTACACAAAGAGACCTTATAAACGAATTTTAACACTTAAAAAAAAAATAAATCTTTCCAGAGAGAAAGGAGGCATTATAAAATGAGGATACAATCGTGAAAAAGGAAATCAATGGAATAATTCAAGGCTACACTTGGTAAGGAAAAACGCTTGGGTATATTATTTGCTATCAAATGTTCAACAGTCTATGGACTCCCGAGAAATAAACGGAGGGTTTTAGAGGGGAGGGGGTGGGGGGATGGGATAGCCCGGTGATGAGTATTAAGGAGGGCATGTATTACATGGGGCACTGGGTGTTATACGCAAACAATGAATCATGGAACACTACATCAAAAACTAATGATGTACTGTATGGTGACTAACATAATAAAAAAAGATGTTCGGTAGTAAAGGAATTATAACAAATAAAAAGAGATTTATGTTCTTTTTCAAACAATTTGAGGTTAAGTGCTGCTCTCTTTGTTGGCATAGCAGAAATGAAAGAGGGAGCTGGACAGAGATACAGGGTGGCAAAAGCATTACCCCATTTCCCCAAATACTCCATCATTCTTAGTTTTCCATTAGAAGCAGTATAATGCACATACCTTCCAATATACCATTATCTATAACATAAAACAAACCCCAAATTAATGTAAAAACAAAAAACCTCCCACAGCCTGCTCATATACTCCCACCATTAGCTTCCCTACAAAAGTGACGCCTTACTGGCTAATGATGAAAAAATTTGCTTTTGAAATGACCCTTGTTGTTTTTATAAAAAAGCAAGTGATGACTCTGGCCTTTGGCCCACCCATCATTCACAAAAAATTCTTTGTATGGCTGCCAACTGGGGAAAAGAAATAAGACTGAAATTTGCCAGCTTCTCACTGCTTGCCTTCTCCTTTTGAGAAAAATGGGCCATCAGTTTTTTCCAATTATGAAGAGGAGCTAGAGGAACTTTCATCTTGTCTTGAGAAGTAGTCCTCCTTTCAAATTTGAATAAAACTGTTTGCAGATTTTGTGGTGGCAATACATTCAAGTTAATTTAAGACAGAATTTTTTTGCAATTCACTTCTTTTGTAAATCAGCTATCATCAGATGCCATTCACTAATATTCATGCACATGTCTCATTTTCCCTTTACTCTTCCTCTCCTCCAATATTCTATCTCACTGAATGGTACCATTATTCATTAGCAGCTCAAGTCAGAACCCTAGGAATTACATTCAAGTTCTTTTGTTTAGCATCTTCTATTCACTTTGACACTCAGTTCTATCAATTTCATTTCTCAAATTCATTCTCTTATCTCTAATACTACTAGTCAGTGCTACTCTCTAGGGTATAAGGCCCTCAGCTCTTTTCATCAGGATTATTACTGTTCAAATATTTCAGCCTCCTGACTAGGGTCCTGCCACTACCCTTTTCAAAAATTAATTTTTCACAATTTCTATAATACATATACAATAGAAGTTCATGGCTAAATGAGTTGTATTATGAATACCTTAAGTGATGAAAAAAAATGCCCTTAAAAATTTCTTTGAATTAAACGATTTTGAATATTGATACTTACTTTGGGAATGCATCAAAACAGTAGGTCTTCTTGGTATCAGGAAAAGCAACACGCATTCCTGAAGTCAAAGGAGAATGAAGAATAACAGCAGCACTCTCATACCGAGCAGCAAGATCCACAGATGGTACTGTCCCTATACTTTGGCCATATATAATCACATTTTCAGGGCGAATGCCATATCTACAAAGTTCAGAAATTAAAAAAAAAAAGTGGAGAATTGGACTGATATGAAATATTCAATCATTTTCTTTCTTTCTTTTTTTTTAAAAAGATTTTATTCATTCATTTGAGAGAGGGAGAGTGAGAGAGCACGAGAGGGGTGAGGGGCAGAGGGAGAAGCAGGCTCCCCACCGAGCAGGACCCTGGGATCAGGAGCTGAGCCAAAGGCAGATGCTTAACTGACTGAGCCACCCAGGCGCCCTACAGTCAGTCATTTTCTAAGGACTTAATCTTATAATAGAATGACTTAGAATGAGACAATGTCAACTTTATACTTAAAATATATTTCATAGCCATCATTATCATATTTAATGCTACAATAAAATCTATATTCTTAGCTTATTTAATCTGTTTCATCTTTTGGAAAAAGAAATGCTGAGGTCTTTTAAAACTTCAAACTTAAATGAATTCATTAAATCATTTATGCAATTCAATGTAGCATACTGTTGGCTAAATCCTGAACATATTACATCAGTTTTTTCCAATTATTTTTAATAGATTGATGTTTAATAGACATTAACTGTCTTATTTTCCATTCAAAGTAACAAAAGTTCGTTGTCTAGACATCAAAAGTGGCTCATTTTATTTTTTGAAGTTGGTCATAGTGATGAAAAGTGCTACATATGGTTACTGTATGGAATGAATAAAACAATATATATATTTTAGCTGAAAGCAAATTACTATTTTTCTTGAAAGTTGCCTTTACTATGGACTAATGATTGGAAAGATAAACATACTGAAGAGACTTTCAAATGCCTTATGATTCAGTTAATTATGAACAAACTTCATGCTAAAATCTCGAGTACTGCCTTTACCTAACCCTTAAAAATGTTGCAGATTTAAATATGTCAACTCATTGCCTCAAATATATCAAATATAATCTATGTTCCAAACATTGTTACTTGTCTATGGTATAACTGTCCCAACTGTAAACTACTGCAAGTAGAAATGAAGTGCTATAGGAGCTAACGAATGTGGGGTTAAGGGTTAGTTAGAGTAAGATCAAATACGCTTTTCCACTTTAGAAGCCTGAGAGCAGTCACTTCTGGATGCTAACAGCCATTCGCACAACAGCATCCGGTCTTTTGAAAAGGTAATGGAGCTTTCCAAGTATCTAAACATGAAAAAATTGCAAGACAAACCCCATGTGCTCCCTCTGGCCCTTTCCAGGGGCCCAGGGCTCTTTGAACTGTCTGGGTAATGACATACTTCCCCATAATTTCTTCCAATCATTCCTACATAAGCATTTAGATATGCCCCAGAGGTTGGGTTCCATCTACTCCAGACTAACGCTAAATATAAGTAAACTGAGAAAAGTCTTTTTCTTTAAGACCTGACTAATTCTTCATAGGAGTGAAGAAGTTACAAAAATGAACATCTGCAGCATCAGCATTAACTCTTGAGGCTGTATGGTTGCTGTTAGCTGAATAGCAGCACTGTTGGTGGCGACTATGGGTTTTAGGCTAATGTTAGCAATGGCAAGGCTCCAGAGTAGAAGCAGATGCCAATTTAGCATCAGAGAACTCAAAGCAGTAACAGAATTTCAGAACAGTACAACTTAGGACTTTAAAGACCACCTAATCTAGTTCAGCTGCTTATGAAGCAGATGTTCAAAGTCAGAGTAAGTCAGTGGCAGACCTATAATTAGAACCCAGGTACCCTGACTCCCAGTCCAGTGACTTTTTCATTATAGCACACAGATAATGAGCTCAAAGACTGTTGTACTATTTTGAAATTCATCTATTCTGCCCTTGTTCCTCATTCATCAAGTATGTGTGGCCATTAACTATGTTTAAAAAGATGAATTAAGTCAAGACTAGAAATTATTTTTTAAAGTTTCCTTCAAATTGACATCAGACAAGAGGAAAAATAGGAAAAAGTTAACCGGGCGCCTGGGTGACTCAGTCATTAAGTGACTGCCTTCGGCTCGGGTCATGATCTCAGGGTCCTGGGATGGAGCCCCACATCTGAGCTCCGTGCTCCGCAGGAAGCCTGCTTCTCCCTCTCCCACTCCCCCTGCTTGTGTTCCCTCCCTCTCTCGCTGTGTCTGTCTTTGTCAAATAAATAAAAATTAAAAAAAAAAAAAAAAAAAAGGAAAAGTTAACCACCTACAAGAGTGGATTTTTTTTTTTTAACATAAACTTCGAACACTGAATTGGATACTAATATGTTCTGGCTGAATAGTTATCTTTTCATGTTATGAGAAGCATTAATAATGAAGGCTATCTGCTATTTATTACTTAGCATCCTTAAAAACTGTCCCAATCCACTGAAGTTATACTTTAAAAGAGTTGAGTTGTATCTCAATAAATGTCATTAAAAATATTTATTATCATATTTTCCTGACAGGTACTATACTATATTCAATTGGCTGAGTCTGGAAAGTGGGAACTCATTTATTTTTGTTTGTAGGACTGAGGGGACTGATACTATTATACCTGAAGCAGATTTTGACTCTGGTCATTTAAGGCAGTTTTTAAGTTTACAAATTTTTACCATTCCCTGCCCCCCCACAACTCGTTACCTACTTCTTATAATACCATTTTTTTTAACTCATCAGGTATGTTTTCATATCATTTCAAGTGATTTAAGAATCCCCTTTATATGAAACTTTGCAATGAGAATATAGTTTTATTATATATCTTATAGAAGTAAATACTTTTAAAAGTATTTTCTAAAAAAGGTTATGCCTATTAACAAAATTGTGGAGGTTCTAACTGAAACCATCAATATTTATTTATTTAAAAGATTTTATTTATTTATTTGTCAGAGAGAGAGAGAGTACAAGCAGGGGGAGTGGCAGGCACAGGGAGAAGCAGGCTCCCTGTTAAGCAAGGAGCCTGATGCAGGACTCGATCCCAGGACCCTGAGATCATGACCTGAGCCGAAGGCTCATCTGAGTCACCCAGGCGCCCCTGAAACCATTAATATTTAAACATTAAATTAGAAATGATAAAATTTTTAAGTCCTTTAAGCTTTAGTCTAAAATACTTTGGAAATCAGGCAGCTTATCAGTGGACAATATGAGGAATAACTTGAACTAAACTATCTTTATTGTACATGAACCATCTGATGAAAAAAACCCCTGAAATCTACAAAACTGAAATATTTTACAATACTGGTGAGTAGGAAAGATTAAAGCAATTTCTAGTTCTCAAAAATATATTGTTATAACCAAAGAATAACTGACATGGTAAGAGAATTTGCTTAAATGATTTATCATAAAATTACCTTTTTTTGTATGTGAGATCATCTCTCCAAATTTTATTAGTCCAGAATGCAAAGTAAAAAATCTCACTTTTATAGAATGCTTTAAAAATAGTTCCAATAAAATATCTGTAAGTCATACTTCTAAGAGATTACATAAAATAATGCAAACCCTGGCTTATGATTTTAACAAAAACAATCCAGTCTCTTACACTCTTAATGACAGAATAAGTAAATCATTAGCTAAGTCATGGTTATCTCTCATTCCCTTGTTTATTCAAAGTTGCAACATCACACTCCACACGTTTATAAAACCAAATATTTGTCATCGGCTTAAATTTTAAAGAAAATCACACACATGCACTAACAGACACAAATGAGATCTGTCTTAAAAACTATGCTATTTTGGGGTGCTTGGGTGGCTCAGTCAGTTAAGCATCTGCCTTTGGCTCAGGTCACTATCCCAGGGTCCTGAGATCGAGCCCCACATCCGGCTCCCTGTTCACAGGAGGCCTGCTTCTCGCTCTCTCCCTGCTTGTGCTCTCACTCTCTCTCTCAAATAAATAAATCTTTTTTTTTTTAAAGATTTTATTTATTTATTTTGTGAAAGAGACACACAGCGAGAGAGGGCACACAAGCAGGGGGAGTGGGACGGGGAGAAGCAGGCTCCCCGCCGAGCAGGGAGCCCAGATGCAGGGCTCGATCCCAGGACCCTGGGATCATGACCTGAGCTGAAGGCAGATGCTTATAAAATCTTAAAAAAAAAAAAAAAAAAAAAATCGCTTGGAAAAAAAAAAAAAACTACGCTACTTTTAAAAATTTAAAATTACAATCTAAGAGCTTAAGTCTTAATAAGTATATATTGGTAAATATAATGTCTATTAAGTACTTCAAAACATGTGTTATAAAAACTACTTCCTTTTTTAATATAAGACAATTTTAGTCAACCATCATAAAAGATGTGCAAAATAATTCCCAATTATGATTTACCTTGTCCTAAGAGCAAGCCAAGCAGCTTCGATATCTGCATAGAGGTTCTTCTCTGTTGGTTTCCCGGAACTTGCGCCATATCCAGAATAATCATATGAGAATATATTACAATTAATCCGTGATCCCAGTCCTATGTAAAAGCTGCTCATCTGACCAAGATCAACAGCATTTCCATGTGAGAAGAGTAAAGTATATTTGGCATTGGGTGAACAACGCACAAACATGCAGGCAATTCTGTTGCCTTTACTGGTTCTAGTCATGAAACACTCAATAGCATCTTTTTCTCTAGAAGAATATTGCCAGTCTGCTCGTTCTGACAGATGTAAAGTCCAGCGGCTTCCACTTTCATCACACATCAAGGTATAAGTAGGATCAGGTGGCAAAAATGCTAATTTTGAAGCAATTTTCCCAGGGCAAGGCGGACAGCAGAAGAGGCAACATAGCTCACTAAATGAAAGATTATTCATCTTCTGAAAAAGAAAAGGAGATAGCAAATGTTTTAATTATTGAATATGGATTCTGTATTTTCATACAATAGAAGGTCAAAAACAAAGGCACTGGTAAATTCTACTGCTGCTCAGTGTCGACTGATATTATTTCAAGTATCCTTTGCCTAAACAGATTTTTGACATCATTCTAGATATAATTTAAATCCTCTGGTGAGGCAAATATTCCTGACCAGGAAATACTCAACTATTACAGGACGTTTCAAATAGTAGTGATTATGTAATATTTAACCAAAATATGAAAACTAACAGGAAGAGTAAAGGTAGTATCTGTTATTGCTCCATAGATAACAGCATAAGAGGTATGAAATATCTTTAGAATAGTGTGTAATTTCTGGGTTAAGTCAGTGAAAATTCTCAGAATCTCATGGAAAGGTAGGTATTTAACACGATACAGTAAATATATAATGATACCATATACATTGTTCATTTTCATGAATGAAGTGCTTGTTATTTGTCAGGCATTGTGCTAGGTATTCTATGTGTATTACCACATTTAATCCTCAAAACAACCCTGGTTGATCTGAGACCAGAAACTTGCACAGTGTGGGGCAGCAGTGGAGCCAGGATTTGACAACAGGCTCAACCACTGTCCTACATCCCTGGGCTACACTGCCTCAAAGGCTCAGAAAACTATTTGTCTCGGAAGCCTATCATTTTAGCCAGTGGCTCAAATAACCTATAAAACATTAAAATATATGTCTATATATAATTATTGCCCAAATTAAAAAGGCTACAATATGAAAGATACAAAAAAAAGTATAAAAATCTGCTAAAATTTCCTATATGGTTACAAGGGAAGGAGTGCGTATAAGGTTTGAAGTCAGAGATAGCTGGGGTGGAATCCCAACTCTACCACTTACTAGCTGTTTCCCTTGGGCAAATTGTTTACCTTTTCGACCCTCATTGTCCTCCTAAGCAGATGAAGTCAATGTCTGGTTGTGAAGAACAAACACAATGATGTAGTTAGGACCTATACTACAGCAATGGCCATACAGATGGCACACTTAAGGATGGTCTACTCTCTCCTGTCTTTTTCATTAATATTTTTGAAGTACTTAGTTGATATTAAGTCAGGAACAAAAAGAGAGTAATACTTGTTTGCCCTACTAGCATTTCTTTTTATCTTGTCCTTTCTCAAATTCCTATCCCTTTTTAGCAGTAGGTGACGACTGCTTAGTTCCAGGAAGAAGGCATTCAAAACAAACACCTGCTAGAGATCTGGTGGCACCTGATTTTCTACAAAAAAAATCTAAACAGGAGGATGGAAAAAAATATACATCATACCATTATACCAAATGTAATTATATATGAGAAGAAATCACCTCAGGAGACTAAAGAAGTGAGATTATGTGGAAAGAAATGTCCTTTTCACTCACTACAGAATCAAAATCTTGTTCATATGCTCAATACAAATGTATTGATTTCCCAAAATCTAGTCCATGTGCTCAACAGACATGTACTAATTTCCCAGTGTAAACTAATTAGGTAGAAAGAAGGAAAAACACACACAGCTAGAGAAACAAACATAGGAGTGATATAAAAGGATTTAAAAGAGTAAGAGAAGGGAAGAAAGTGTCTTTTGGATATTAGGAAACGCCTTTGCTTGCTATTCTACCTTTATTCCTTTTCAACCTTCAAAAAAATATAGCATGAATAAGTTAATGTCATAGTCTAGTTGGAAAAAGAGACTGATAAAACAGAAGTGACAATGAGGTGTCATTTTTAGTGGTAACTCTAACTGGCTCTGTGAAATACTGTACTGAGAAGGATTCTAAGGGCATACACAAGGCTTGGCAGGCAAAGAACATGTCATAAATTAGTGATGTCTACTACAGGATTTGGCTACAGATTTATTATCCTGGTCATGAGGATATAGGACCTGGCGAAGAGGATGGCAGGAAAGAAAGTTCTAAGGGTTAGTTTAAGGGAAGGAGATGACCTAGAAAAAAAAGATGAGTTATAAGGCACAGTATTATCAATGCTATCTGTTTAATAATCTGTCTACAGCTATTTCTTGCTTCCAATTACCTTAAAACCAGCAACTGCTGACCCTTGAGAGTCTATTAAAAGCTTGGTTGATAATAAGTAAGCTGTACGTAGCTTTATGTTCCTATAATTTACCTCTTGAACATGAAGGCTTTTTTTTAGAGATTTTATTTATTTATTTGACAGAGAGAGAGAGCACAAGTAGGCAGAGAGGCAGGCAGAGGGAGAGGGAGAAGCAGGCTCTCCGCTGAACAGGGAGCCCAATGCGGGGCTCGATCCCAGGACCCTGGGATCATGACCTGAGCTGAAGGCAGCTGTTTAACCGACTGAGCCACCCAGGCGCCCCGAACATGAAGACTTTTATATATGATAATAAAGTAATTTAAAAATAAATCTGGCTGACTGAATATATGTAAAACTGCACAGCTGCTTCTGGGGATGAACACCAAAAGAGAGAAGCAGGAGAAAAGGTACAGTGCCAGGATCTAGTCTAATGAAAGGACAACCTGACCTTTTTTTTTTTTTAACATTTTATTTGAGAGAGAGAGAGGGCACGTGTACACATGAGACGAGGGGCAGACGCTTAAGGACTGAGCCACCCACGCACCCAACAACCTGACCTTCTTAATGTCAGTGGAAGAGATTATTCCCACCTCCACAGCCCTAAACCAGATAACTGGTGTCCATTTAATAATAAAAACTTGCAAATTATCACTTTTCTAATAAGAGGCATATGGTACAGGACAGCAACCTAGACTTGCTTAAACAAAAAGTATACATAAATAAACCTAAGTTTTAGTAACATGAGAGCTAAACAAGTTATTGAGGAAAAAAATTTATTCTTGAAATTTATAAAAACATTGAAATATCTTGTTAAATTTGGGTAATTTTAAGTCCCATTTGTTTTATATAAAATTCATCTGAATAAAAATATATCATTTATCAGTTATTTCTTGGCTAACAAAATCTTGAAGAGACAAGGCAGTGAATAATTGTAGGGGGAAAATGATAAACATCTGAAAGTACACAACAGCAAAAGACAGATAAATTATTTAATTTAGAGCAGAATTTTTGGACCAGACAAAACAAGGATTTAAAAGAGGCGCCAGGCTGGCTTAGTCAGTGTAGCATGTGACTCTTGATCTCAGGTTTACATGTAAATTCAAGCCTCACATTGGGTGTAGAGATGATACTTAAAAACAAAATCTTTTTACTGTTTTTTTTTTTTTTTTTTTTTTTTAGATTTTATTTGTCAGAGAGAGAGAGCACAACAAGCAGGGGGAGCGGCAGAGAGAGACGGAGAAGCAGGCTCCCTGCTCAGCAAGGAGCTGGATGTGGGACTTGATCCCAGGACCCTGGGATCATGACCTGAGCCAGAGGCAGATGCTTAACAGACTGAGCCACCCAGGTACTCCTTAAAAACAAAATCTTAGTGAATTATAATAAACCAGTTTTAAAAAAGAGAATACTTAAAGATGTAATGGAAAAATGTCATACAGAAAAATCCAAGTGGAATCCCTGATACAGAGAAATCAGTATCTAAAACAAAGAACCTGATGGATTGGGTACAAGAATCAATAACTGAAGAATGTATTACTGAGCTGAAAGATCCAAGAATTCCAAAACAGGGAATTTTTCAGGATGGAAGGGATGACAACAGAGAAAACATAAAAGAAAATTTAAGGAAAATAGAAGTAGAAATACCAGTATCAATAATCTAAGAATTTCTCAGAATTAAAGAAAAAATTCAGCCTGAAATTGCTCAGAGTGCCAAACAGGTATTTAAGAAAATTCTCACAGGCTAGACAAATTATAGTAAATATTAAGATTGCCAGAAACAAAAATGTGAAAGTTTCTTTTTTTTTTTAAAGATTTTATTTATTTGACAGAGAGAGACACAGCGAGAGAGGGAACACAAGCAGGGGGAGTGGCAGAGGGAGAAGCAGGCTTCCCGCGGAGCAGGGGAGCCCGATGCGGGGCTCTATCCCAGGACCCTGGGATCATGACCTGAGCCGAAGGCAGACGCTTAACGACTGAGCCACCCAGGCATCCCTAAAACCGAGACCCTCTTTGAGGAACTCCAGCAAGGACAAAAATAAATCCAAGAGAATTCTATGAATATCTCAAATATGATAAAGAATAGTTAATGTAATGTTTTGTTTTAAAGCAAGCAATGGAGAAAAAAAAAGCAAAGTATATCCCCAAACAATCCAAAATCAAGACTTTGGGGAATACGAATATAAACAGAATTGGAGGAAGAGTTAGGGATTTAAGTGAAAAATGCGCTGTGTGCAGGCACTGGTTACTTGCCTTGTTCAGAATGGTATTAATATTGATAAACTTAAGACATGGAAGAAAAATATGACTATTAATGAGTCAGATATAACCACCATAAAATTATAGATTCTAGGATACACCTTAAGTAGTTATAGTTATTCATTATAAATGTCCAGCTTTGACTATTTGTCCGTGTGTTAAACTCAAGGAGTACAAACACAAAGAATTAATTAAGGGCAGATATCAACAAAATAGAGAACAAAAACCAGTATCAACAGATCCCAAAACTGACTCTTAGGTAACTCATTTAATCCTTTCAACAACCTTCTGAAATAGGGACTATCAATTCACCCATTTTCCATTTGAGGAAACAGAGGCAGAGAGTAGTTATGTAACCTAACAACAGTCACACAGCTGGGTAAGTGACAGAACTGTTATGTGTGGCAGAATGACTCTGGAGCCTGAACTCATAACCACTGTTTTGTGGAAAGAGTACCCACAGAAGACTGACGAACAGAGATAAGCAAAAAACCAAAATACTAAATGAAAAAGCAGACAGACACACATAGTTTTAAAAATTAAAATAAAAAACCCCAAAAAACCAAGTATGTTTGAGGATATGAATTAAATTCTTGAGTAACATAAAAGAACAAAAAACCCAACCCAATTAAAAAAATGGACAAAAGATCTGACATTTC